TGGGTATTGATGCTACCTTGGAGCCACTGCTGATATCCACTCCTCCCTGCTATGTGTGCCCATGGGAGACAATCTGCATTTCACGAGGGGACCCCATAATGCATAAAAAAATCAGAAGAGTCTTTATATGTATAATTTTTAATCAGACATACTGCAGCCCTTGCTGGTTAAATGAATGTGCAGTCTGAAAGCATGTGAAGGACTGGCTCGTGCTGCCCACGAGGTTTTGATATTGTTGGCCTGTGTAAAAGAGTGCCCTTGAGGAAGTACAGCATGTCCCAAACAGCTGTAGTCCAATCTGATGGGATAAACTAAGGTGTGCATATTGGCAAAGCACTTTATGAAAGTCAGTGCCTCTAGTATTCGGGTTTCTAAGAAAGGGAGAGTACAAATGTATTTTCATTTCTTTTAATGTTAGCAATTAATGTTGACACCCACAAACTGATGGTGATGGCCAGTCCAGTGCAGCAAGCCCTCCCACTGGGAGAGCACCCAGGGAATTCAGGGTCATGTACTTTGGGCTTGTAGAGCTTCTGACATGCTTTGAACAGGCCTTACAAAGGGAAAGCTCCACTAGCTGTATCAGCTCACAACAAATGGACATTTCATCCTCCAAAAAAGCCCTTGGACCATCATTAAAACCCCTAAATTTAACTTCATTATTTTACTGAATTCCCAGTGGATAGAACTTCAAGACATGTCACTCCCTGTAATTGGCACTGGCAAGGCCACATCTTAAATCCTGTGTTCAGTTCTGGGTCCCTGACTACAAGGATGTTGAGGTGCTGGAGCATGCCCTGAGAAGGGCAACGGAGTTGGTGATGGGTCTGGAACATAAATCTTATGAGAAGTGGCTGAGGGAGCTGGGGTTGATTAGCCTGGAGAAAAGGACACTCAGGGGGGACCTTATCACTCTCTACAACTACCTGAAAGGAGTCTGTAGCAAGGTGGGGTTAGTCTTTTCTCTCAGGTAACAAGAGACAGGACAGGAGGAAATGGCCTCAAGTTGTGTCAGGTGAGGTTTAGTTTGGATAGTAGGAGAAGTTTCTTCACTGAAAGGGTGGTCACACTTGTAATGCCCTTGGAGAGCCTATTTGGGATTAACTTCCTCTAGAGGAAAGGTACTGCCTTGCCTGGCTCCTGTAGGAACTAAAGAGCCACATCTGCCAGCATGAGCAAGCAAAAGTTAGTCAGCACCTTTTTGAAAGGTTTTTGTGATTTCCTAAAAAGACCTCTCAGACTGCAAGAGGTATTTACACACTTTGTCTGATTAGTGATCAGCATCTACTACCATCTCTAGGTTCCTCAGCTTCACATACAGCCCTGTCACTCCTGTTCTCCCAACCAGGTTTGCTGTCCCACAACTTCTCCCTTTTCTGGTTTACTTATTAGAACCTCTGCACATCTCAGCTCAACCACTTTAAGGACAACTGTAAAACACAGAGGGATTCTTTAAACTCCACAGCAGAGGGTCCTTCCTAAAACCAGCTCTGGAATTAGACAGAAATAATAGACTCCCTTTAAAGGTCACTATTGTTCCCTAAGCACTCACAGATTTATCAGAAAACTGAAGAGACTTCAGCCCCATTTGCATTTCTGGGTTGACAGCAGTGTGACCTACAGTAGGTCCCAAGGTCCCTGCCTGTGGGACTGTGCCTAGCCTGGGCACTCAGAAAGCAATCATACACCTATACCAGGCAAAGAAAAGAGCCTACTGGAGCTCTTACATAAATCTGTTCCTGCAGTAAATTTATAAAATCAGCTTATAAAATATACTTATAAAATAAATGTGTTTTTCAGGTCCTAATTTCTGAAAAGCACTTTCCAAAAGAGATATTTAATGAGTACTGAGCATAGACAATAACTTAGAGATGCCATTATTTCACCGTATTTGATCTCACTTTATGGAGTGTACAGCTTGTGCACAACTGCTCCACGATCAACTGTGACGTTCTCATTGACTATGACAGTTTGTGTAAATATACTCTCATTAAGCACTGGAAAAGTAAAATTCTGCATTTGATCCACAGATATGGGGAATTTTACAGACTTGAAAATTCATGAGATCTGAGAAAGAATACTCCAAAGGACTTAAATGAAATATCTTGTAGGAAAACAGATTACTATCTGAAAGTACATAGGAGACACTGACTGGGAAAATCTGCTCAATTCAGGTTAGGACCTGCTTTTCTAATTTGTCATCATTGTTGAAGCTTCTGGGAGAAAATAAGTTAGAGCAGGAAGAGTACAAATTCCAAATTCTGACAATCAAGGATGTTTTCACACAGAATATAGAGTGTAGTGGCATTTTTTGCTAAACTGATGGACAAAAGATTAAATAAAACAATCCATCAGGAAGACTGAATACTACAAAAAAGTCTGCAATAATTCACTAACACTGACTTGGCAATAATTTCCATTACAAGCTATATTCATGTTTGTGCCCCTTGTTTTTGATGCTTCCGTAGATATCAGAGTGAGGATGAAGGGATTTAAACTTTTGTTGAACACAAACTATTGCATTAAATGTGCTAGTGTTGACAGCTGTTGGGTTAACAATCACACAGTACAAAATTCTTCACAATAAATAATTTTTATACTTAACCTGTTTGAAAATGATGATGAATTCATATGACATCTGACATTAATAATGAAACAACACACTGAAATAAATACCAAACGCTCACATAAAATTTAGAGTTCAATTATATCATAGAATGTTTGAATATTTCCAAAAAGCAACTGAGAAAGAAAGGATATTTTTTGTTATCCCACAAGGAGAAAAAGATGTAACATTCAAATTATTCAAAATATGTTATTCTCTTGGGTTTAATTTTAAGGCAAGCAGCCTGGTCAATTTAGTAGACCTGAAGCCTTCAAGAAAATACTTTTAACATACTTTATAGCTCTATTCAAACTAATGGCATTTTTGATAAAATATATATATTTGCCCATATCATACTGCATGCACAAACTTTTCACAGGGTTTATCCAAGCAATCAGTGCTCAGAACAAATAGCAAATTTTGCTGAGAACATTTGTAGTGATGTCACATACTGTCCAGCAGCTGCTGTGCTAGTAATACCATAAAATAAATACCAACATCTTTTATAGTGATCTTCTTTCATGGATTTGGAAGCGTTCTGCGATGAAAGATAAGCATTGACTTCCACATTTGCTCCCTGCTCATGTGCATATGCACTTCAGTGGTGGCTTATCTTGTCATTGCAGGAGACAGAGCAAAGAGCAGGTGGAGGGAGCCAGTGCTGCAAGCAACCGGGCTCTCAAATTCTGTTTAGCAATTTCAGGCATCGATATGAACTGAATGCTTGAACCACCCTCACTCAGCTTGACTATTGGAGTACTGACTGGGAAAGGCATGTGAACTGTAAAGCTTTTCTGTTTCTCTCAGCTATGCAAGGAAATTAAGTGTCTCTTTGCATTAGCTTGGCCTCTCCCATATCCCTGCACCATCATGTCCTCTGCGCTGCTGGTACCATAACAGCTTTGAGTCTAATAATAAAGAACTCTAACTTTGCCTCTGGAGTTCTGCTAATGTAAAAATCTGGTGCAGTGGGTGTCAGTAATTTCAAAGTAAATTGGTCAGTGCTGAAGGTAGCAAAAGCAGCAAGTATTAAAGTCTAATTTGACTATCAGTTTGACTATCAGAGCTTCCTCTGAGACAGTTTTAGGGTAACTGTGATATTCTTATTAAATCTTAATCTTCATCCGATTTCCATATTAATTTTCAAAATAAGACAGTGTGTCTTTTTAAACATACCAGTTTGTGACTCTTTTATTCACCTGAAAAATATGTATTTCTCTTTCTTGAAAAGTTATTCACATCAACTTCTTGTACAGAAGGCAACCATCCCACAGGGCTGTTCCTCCTACTCAACCATAATGTCTCTCGTGCAGTGTGTTCCTGCATTTGTTTCCTTTGACTGATCAGGGCTAGCGTCTGATGTATCCTGTCCCCTTACTGAAGAAGGCCTTTTAATCTGCCCTTTCATCTTTCACTGCAGGCAGCTCTCCCTTTTCCATTCCCCTTCCCATCCCTGTGGTTTGTCTTTCCTGAAGGTTATAGCATTCTCCAGAGATTTAGTCAGACAGTGATAATGAAGACCAGTCTTAGGAAATTAGGTCAGATATCTGTACTTTTAGGATTAGCATAACAGATGCCATAAAGTGAGTTCATGCATAGGTACATAGCAGCTGATGATCTGCAAATCAGAATTAGGTTTCCTGATATTGATATTCTCTTCTTGTTCCCTAGTGTCCAAGGTATGCTGGTCCACATATAGCCCTTCTCTGAACCCCTGTCCCCATGAGCAACTTGATAACCAGGGAGATGGATAAGGATCATGTCCTCAGCAACTTCCTCAGGTTTCTTGGGGCGTAAGGGCTGGTGACCGCCTGTGAAGGAGTAGACTCATTCTGAAACTGCCCTGAATTCAAAGCTGATCACTCAAGGTGATGACACAATCAAGGTAGAAATTGCTAAAAGATAATGCGGTGAGTCCCACTAAGGAAGAAATATTGCATAGAAAGACCTCACAAAAGGGATGTATGAAGCTAGCTCATGGGAAGAACACATCCAGCTCAGGGACCAGCCAGACTTTTTCTGTATCTATCTTTCCAAACGGTGGGGTTTAAAGACATGGCTACTGTCAAACCCAATTTGCTGAGCAACCCACTCTTTGAATGCCTGCGACAGTCGTCCTGTTTATCTAACCCTTTTCACAGCCTTTTAAAAGGTTTTTCTTACTTCTTTTCTTACTTCTCCCAAATGGCCCTATCAATGTACTTTCATTAAACCTGCTGTTGTCCCAGGTACATGTCTCCTATTATCTAATCTAATTCCAGTCACTTTAAGTAAATAATTTTCCTGCTCTGTCTGCCTCGGCTCATTCGCTACCTTGCTGTTAAGGTAGTTGAGAAAGTTAAGAGCTGAATAAATGGAAGCCCTGTGGCTTTTAAGTAGATGAACGGGCCTTTATTCTCATTCCTAAATTAATCTCACTTTCAATTTGTGACCATGACTGAGCTGGAACTGCAGACTATAAAGAATGACTCCTCAGATGTCGAGGCTGTGGATTATGAATTTGCCAGGTAAGAATAACTGAAACATGTATTGAGATAGCAACTCAAGCTGTATACAGCACATATACAAGAAAGGTAACTTAAATAGATGTGTCACAAAAGTTTTTCTGTTTCAAATTCCTTATATATACAGAAGTTAGTTTTTTGGGGGTAGAGGAGCCAAAGGTAAGGAGCAAGACAAAAGAAGATGAATCTGTGAGATTTAGGCTTAGGTTCTAGGTATGTTTTTTTCTGATAATAAAGCTTTTTAAGCTTAACAGGTTATCTGCTGTTATTATCCCAGCCTGCTCATTCCTTCACCATCCCTGGAGGTATTGTGGCGCTAGGTGATTTGGGTTAGTGGTTTAGGGGTTACAGTGGCAGTGCTGGGTTGACGGTTGGTTTTGATGATCTTAAAGGTCTATTTCAAGCTTGATGATTACATGACTTTATGATTCCTTTGCACAGCAATCTGTAACTACTGATACACAAATTGTTTTGGTGTCAATTCATAAACTGCACCATGGAAATGATCAGGGTAAACAAAAAACAACTTCACCCACTTGTTGCCTCTGCTACTCTTAGCCATGTAGATCTTGCCTTTTACTTTAGGAGAGATGAACTTTTTGGCAAAGTTTTGCAGCTCCTGTCAGCCAGCACAGTTCCATTATCTGGTGTTAGACCGAAAAGACAGAATTTGGGAGTGATGACTATATTATACTGCATTTCTGCCTCTACTAAACTAGTCTGGCACTACTCTCATCAGTACTCTCCTTGTTAACAGGAAAGGAAGAAAGAAGTTTTCCTTCTATACGTGCTAACTGTACAGTCTCGGTAACAATCCAGTGCTGCACATATGATTCAGATAAAAAAATCATATGAAGCTGGCAAAATCAAAACGAAAAACACTGTATTAGTAATCCACATCCGGCCATTGTTATGATGTGCCAGCATCATAAATGCAAAGTACAGTGGACAGAGGTTTGTTAAATTAAGTAATCCTTAAACTATATGAACTGTGTATTCAGTTTGGCTAACCACAGGGAGATGAGGGCTTATTCCAAGAAAAGGCAGGAACGATGCTCAGCGTGTACTCAGCAAATAAATATTTTCCTAGAATATATAAACTGAGAGATTTTCTTGTCCTTTCGTATATAAAAAAAGAATTCCTACTGATACCATGCATATTTATAAAGTACAGACTAGACTAATTTTGTGCATTGGCTATATCAAGTCTTCCTTGCTTTTAATGATACCACATTATAAAAGAACCCTGAAAGTAACCTTAATCTCTAATTATTTTTTTAGTTCTTTAGCTAATATGCTTGTTATTATTTGTGAAAATAAAACTTCAAGTGAAGAAAAAAATCAGACTACCCTTTCTTCCTTCCTCTCCTTCCTCCAGATGAAATATCAAATACTGAATTACGCAGATGAAGGCTTTAGCCAACAATTTCAACATCACAAAAACAAGAGTCATCGCAGTTAGCATGGCTGTGAAGTATGCTATCCAAAATATCAAGGGTGGAACAAATAATCAACATTTTCCCCTTAGAAGGAACTTTTCTATTGTCAGATTTTGAATACTTGAAACAATGGATAGCCCCATGACTTCAAAAGGATCACATGAAAAACAGAATATCTGTCAAAAAAAGGACAACAGATTCTGACTCAATAGACCCTAAGTATGTCACTATGAAGCATTTTGATCTCTTGCTGCCCTTGAGGTATTCGTGCTGGGAGCAGACCTCTAGTGCTCTTGAGATCAAACCAGCATATTTCCTGAATGCTATACTAATACAAACATATTTTGAGGAAAAATAAATAATTGAAACAAAACAAATTATGCGAAATGTTGGTCTTATTGATATAACTCGAAAAATATCCAGTGGTTTGAACTAGTCTTCCATTCTCTTATTGTATATTTAGCCTAACATTTACCTCACCCTAAATTCACTCTCCTCCTTTTACTGTTCAAACCTCTACAGTATTATCCTAGTTTGGAGGGAGCCACCAACTATTAACATAGTTCTTAGTTGCTTTGAAGCCAATTTATCTGAGACTGAGATACAGCATCCCTTCTTTTCAAGCTTGGTTCTTTGCAAGAGCCTTTATTGAGCCGCTTTGATGTAATTGTCTGCATTTCGGTGATGAGTAATGCAAAACTGAAGGGCTGAAACTCAAGCAGCATTAATATTTTCTTTTACAGTATCCACAGCTTTAAAGATCACATCTAATACTTTAAATGGCCATTGCTGCCCCCAACATATACAATAAGAATCACACCCTTGGAACACTATCTTTTTTCTGATTAGAACACAATTGTCTTTAAATTTTGTAGTCACAGTACTACTGTCCTTCCCACCTGGACCTCAGGTTCCTAACCCAATATCTGAGGGACGAGCTCTCTTCTTCTACTTTCTTTCCTTCTCTCTCTTACACAGAGATGCTGATGCCAACTCTTCTCACTCCACGTGGAACCATGGTTTTCCAGACACACTGTCAGCCCAGCAGTCAGTCCTCAGTCTTGCAGATGGACATATGTCTTCACCTTCAGCTTTCTGATCACGTCTGCATCTCCCATTCCTTCTCTTTCTTTCTCTGAATCAAAGGTGACACACAAACTTAGTGCAAAAAAGATCCCACAAACTAAGACCTTGTAGAAGAAAAGGAAGCAGCCAAGAAATTTAAGGTGAGTAGTCTTGGGAGAGGATAACCTCTTCCAGGTTAGCACTTTCCACACCCAAGCCCCAGTGAAGGCAACCTCCAGGTCAACTCTAGAGGTATCTGGAGGCAACCTCCATTATGATTCACAGCCTGCTTTTGGATCCTGCTGCATAAAAGGAAGGATGGGCTTTGTACTGGTGTGAGCACAGGGGTCCCATCTCTGTCAGACATCTCATGTCTGAGGACCATTTATCTGGGATGCACTGGGTCAACACTGTGTGGCCTGCATTGTTTCCTGAATTGGTCCCTTCCTTGTCTCTCTAAAGACTAGAAACCCTTGATTGTATAGCCAGTCTCCTCTTATTGGTGTGAACTGAGGAAGGATACTCTGCACTGCCATAAGTGGATGTTAGGGTATAAAATACAGCAAATTAAATAAGACAGTATATGAAACACTGAAGCACTACCCTGGCTAACACTAATTAATGAAGATATGATGGCATTTTTAATACGTAGTTTTGAATGGAATTACAATCCAGATGAAAAATTGACAAAAAATAAGGGATACATACCACTCTTCTGCATTTTTGTGTGTGTATTATCCCATGTGTCATTAGCCACTGACAATGGTGGTGTAGTGTCTGAAAGATTTCTTTTTTTTTAAGGCTGACAAAAATGTGGACTATAACATGATATCCTAGATAATTTGCAAACATTGAAATAATACAGTCTTTATCCTGAAGTCCTTATGAAAAATGAAAACCAGAAAAAAGGAACATGACAAAATGTAAGAGAGAGTCAGATTCCTTGAGAAATTAAGGTTGTAGAGGTAGTTTGCTTTTGGAAGCATCTGTAACAGGAAAGCTAGAAATTCTTGTTTTCTCTTAGGAAGACTGCAAAGTGCCTTCTCAAGAGGGTTTTTTTTTCCTTTCTGCAGTTCAGAGGGGGTTTCAGAGAGGGCTGTGTTATCTCTCTCTCTCGCCTATGCTGGAGAGAAATAGCCCTAACAGACATGCACAGAGGCCTTGGGAAGGCAGGGGAGAAACAGAGAGGATAAAGAGGCCCTGAGAGGGAGGGAACTGGCCTTTTTCTCCCTCAGGTGGTGTGTAAACTGTTAGGTATTCTGTAAGTTTCTGGTGTTCTGGCCTTCCAAATAAACTTCCTGAATTCTTTTCACTGCCTTGGCATTTCTGGGGCTACCTATGCGTCTTACATTACACAGGTTAACTCAGCTGTCTCTGTCTTCACAAAATGTTTCAAATGGGCTTATTTTAGAGGGAGATAAGTTTGAAGAATATAAGAGAAGGGAGAGCCAGGGAAAGTGGGAGTTGTGGGTAATCGGGTATAGGACCTGGAACAAACAGTCAGGTATTAGAGAAGGCAGACACTCTCAGATGAGTAATCCAGAAATGAGTATTTTCTGCAGCTGCTTGGCCATACTGAGTTGCTGGTTGGTTCCAACTGCATTTAGAAGAAAAAAAAAGCATTATCGTAGAGCTGGCATATATAGCTAACTGCTTAACCTAAACTTTGCTTCCCAGTTGTCGTGTGGGGCATGGAATATGAATGAAACAATTACCCAGAACATGCAATCAGTCTGGGATTCATGCCATGAAGTATGATTTAGGTCAAGAGTCCTGCAGAACTCAGAAAAAGTCTTGGACGTGTGGGTAAGAAGAACATGCAAAATAAGCATTTCTAAAAGCCCACAGGAGTTTGTGGACGGAGTTAGGCTTCAAGGCAGAACAACATCTAACTAACATGGGTTAAGAAGAACATCTCTGTGGCCAGTTCATTCTGTAACATTTTCTGAAGCAGCTGATAGAGGTCCTAGCAGAAACAGTGTGCTGAACTAGCGGCTATTGGCATGACTGCATATGCCAGTCTCAGATTTCTTGCTGCAAAGGGGAGATCTGTTTTCAAATGTCCAAAAATCCAAAATAAACATTTCTGATGGCATTAAAGCTAAGAAAAGTGTTTCTAAAGGCTTACTTGGTGCATGTTTGTATTCCTTTTTGAAAAATGACTTTTATCTTTGTTTTCCTCTGCTATATCACATGAAAAAGAAATCCTAAAGTACATGAGATGTTTCCCATGTAAACAAATTCCTTCCCTCCAGAGGAATGTTATATGATGACAGGGTATGTGAAATGGTCTCAGTGATCATGTGGTAAGTGAGATCATGAGACACTGTCTGCATTAGGGTTGAATGTAGTCTACTCAAATGTTTTTGGGATCCCTGTGATAGAATATTGATGGAAAGCAAAACCACAAGCACTGGGCAAACAGGACCTCACCTACCTCCTGATGTTGTTAGGGCCTAAAGCTTTGGTATAAAAAGTGTATAAACTCCTTGTTGTTACTAAAACTGATTTAGTAGATAAATAAACAGGCTTTAAATGGTTTAAGAATGGCTTAATTTGGGTAGTATAATTCTTTTTCTGCAGTTCTGACAAATTATCTTGGGATGCAACTAAGTTCTGTTCAGCTGTCAGAAATCTTTGTCTCTACACAATTTAGGGACCATTTCTGTCCATCACTTTGTGTGAAGATGTGACACAGGAAATGTCAATACTGAGCAGCTGATTTTTCAACATTTTTTTGCAGTGACAGACAATGTTCCTTCAGAGTTTAGAAAATCTTTTACTTTGACCACTCTTGTTTTGTTAACAAAGTAAATGGACTAATGTTTAAAATTCAGTATCTTTGTTTTATTTCTCAAAAAGAGTAATGTAACCACAATATATTCAGATGGTTATTCTACAGAGAAAAATCAAAAAGGAAAAAACAAACAAAAATTAATCCTTTGCAGTACTAAGTAAACTAAGGCAAAACAAAATATGGTATAGATCCTGTCTTAAAGAAATGGACCCAATGTGAACATCCTGTGAACTCTGAAGGAAAAGTTCATTTACATGTGGATACTCTGGTTTAATTGTAATAGCATATGCTGTGGTTCCATGAGCAAATGGTACTTTACTATGTCCATGAGTTTCTCAAATAAAATAATAATAAAAAAATATTACTTAGACCTGAACCTGATTTTTTTTTTGTAAAAACAGGGAGGTTTATATTTTTTTTTTAAACTTTGGAAAGAACCATTCAAATGGTGTTCAAAGCCTGAAAAATCTGAAGTTGGGCAGCAATAGCTACAGAACTGTGCCTTTTAACATGGACAATAATAAGTTAAAACTCTGATTTAAATAACAATGATCAGTTCCACTGATCCTACCAGAATTTAACCCTTCATGCCATATCCTAGGCCAAAGGATGTCTGAAAAACCCATCTCCACAGATAGGAATCTGTTCAAGATCAGGAGCACATAGGATCTCTTTTTATTAAGTGACCTTCAGTGACAACAACAACGGGCAATTTTGGTTGCTCTACCTACACTTTTTACTTCTCCATCATCTGGCCAACTTAAAATGCTAACTAAGCATTTGAACAGTAAAAATTCAGCTCACCATGTACTTTCAAGACTTACATGGATCTTATGGATCATCAAAGCATAGGAATAGCGCTGGGCTTCTTACAGACAACCAGAAGACCAAAGCATAGGCACTGCATTAGCACCTATATTTAGCCACCATTACCTGTGATGGAGCTGCTGCCTAGGTTACTATATCTGCGGACAACTGTGAAGGAAAATGAATGCATTTGATTAACACTTTGGGAACTGTACCCTAGTGGTTTTAATACATACTTTAAACCCAAAGCTAAAAGTAAAATCTATTTGGATTCCCTGACACCTCCCATTTAATGGCTTTTTTTTTTTCAGGTATTTGTAACATTGCCAAGCTTCAATCATTTGGGATAAAATTTTCCATGTTAGGTGTCTCCATCTGACAAGTTTTAAATTTTTTGTTTGTTTGTTTTGGGTATATTACAGTAAAAATAATTTGGCTGCTTTCAAGGACAAGGCTATGGAAAAAGAAGTTTTGTCCATGTGAACTGACTCCAGTGACCTTAAACTGAGTGTTTCACATTTCAGATTAAAACCTAGGACAGAGGGAGGAGTGAGCACACTTCATATCAAGGATGTGCCTTTTGGCATCCCTCTGAAATCTGACCCTAGTTCATTAAATTTCATACTATTGGGGGGTGGAGAGGGGTGTGTGGAGAGGGAAGTTCACACATGTTCAATAGATCAAGATTTTAACAGTTTAATTCAGCAAAGTTGTCACCCCTAAGAGGCTGAACATGATGTTATCATGACTTGTGCTGCAAGTGCAAAGTCTGAGCGCCTAAACTAAGGTCAGCAAACACTTTGTTGGGTTTCCCAATGATACCCTTTGATTTAGGGAGTTAAAAGTACTGGAGAAAAGAACTTGTTCAGAGAGAAGGGAGTAAACTGTGATGGGAGTAAGTCACAGGATACTACTGAGTAGGATGGAAATAAGAGATAAGATAGGCTACGAAAACAGTATACAGGGCAAAGATAAAGATTGTCGATATAATCGTAACTGATGAAGTAAAGACAGGCTTGGATAAGAAGGTTGAGAGATTTGATATAAGACCAACTACCATCTTAACTTTGAACATTTCATAGCCTCATCTCATAGTATTAATTTTTAAAATATATCTTCATTGTAATTGCTTGTAGAGATGAAACAATTATATTACATATAGCTCTTCACTCTCTTTCAAACTGATGCCTTAAGCCCATAATGATTTTTTATTTTTTTACCTTATAAGTTTTATAGGTAATAGAAGTAGATTTTAGAAACCCTTTCTCCCTCCTCCCTGTAGTACCCCTTAGTTTATACATTCCTTAATCCTCCCACCCCATTCCATACCCCCATATCAACCCTATTCCCATATCCAGTAGAAGATGTTTAGTCTCTTAGTCAAGGCAAGCCTGTCTTGTTTGGAGAACGCCTGTATCTTGGCCTAAACCGCAGGACAGAGTCAAGGAACTGTGTGACTCTGCTCTCTGTACCCCGAAGATGATGAAGAATGATGAAGAGGGGGTCCCAAAAAGCCCCCCGACCCAATTCCAGGAGGCGGGCCAGGGGGTGGACCAGGCCAAAAGTTATAGGGTGGACACACTTGGGATTGGCCAGATATTGTTATAAATGTAACATCCCGGGCACAGCCCAGCGCGCGCGTCGTGTAACATCTCTATTGCCTTGGCTAATTAAACCCTTTCTTATCTCACCCCAGCTTACGGCTCCTAAATTTTTTTCGTAGCACCAGCTGAGCAGGCATCAAAACTAAACCTCAACTTATTTATCTGCTGAAGCAAGAAAATTTGATGAGAAAATATGAATTGCTTCCAGTTAACTTCCAAGATAAACATCTCTTTCTCTCAGAAATTACAAGAAATGTTACTTTACAAACAAATGTCCAAACACTCAGAATTATTGTAAATTACTTTATTTCAATTACAGAAAATGGGGACCCCTGGTGGCCTAGTGGTTAGCATGCGGGACTCTCACCGCTGTGACCCAGGTTCGAATCCCACTCCCCCGGGCAGATGGAGCTCATTAGCCCTGTGAGGCCATCCATCTATGAGAAGGTCACTCTAAACAAACCTACGTCCTGAGGACCTCACTGCCACTGTACAAGCTCGCTTGGCCCCGGCAGATGAACCTTAGGATTAAAGGGTGGGCTCAGTTCAGCGCATGCTGTGTCTCACCTAAAAAAAATCCATTGCGCAGGCTGGAAAGGTAAAAGACCTTTCCCCAAATCTTCGTTCGCGAAGACTGGCCATCATAACGGAAAATGTTATTTTCAGTACTCTAAATGATATAAATTACTTTTAAAGCTGAGCATTTCAGGTTTAAAGGACAGAAACACTTCAATGTCTTGCAAATCATTTTAGAACAAGAAGTGTAGGGCGGCATAATTCAAATAGATTCAAGTTCAGGCACTGACCTCACCAAGAAATACCCCATACTTAAGTAAAAAGAAAGTGCTTGGCTCTGGTTTAAAATCTCCATTGCTGTTTGATACTCAGTTATTCATGACGGAGTACTGTGCCAAAACTGATTCAAGTGTTCAAACTGGCACCAGCGTGAGGATAAAGGTACCTTTCAGTCAGCCCAGCGTTAATCATCCTTTTTGTTCTGAGACAGCTTTAAATCCTGTATTTCTAATAATTTCTCTTTTCTGATCTTGACCTCAGCAAGATAATTTTTTGTACTCTGAGTGAGATCTGACAAGCAACTTGGCCATGATTATACCTCCCCACACACAGCTTCAAAAAATGCTATTGGACATGTTCAGTGTTTGTCTCATTAAATGATGGGCAGTATCATTTCAATCTTTCACAAGACTGAGACCAAGAAAGCACAATACCACTGAGTATTTTGATGCTATTAAATGTTGTTAATAAAGTAGTTGCTAGAATTCCAGAACCATGCAGATGCCATCCTTCTCTTATTAACATTCCTGACCTCCTAAATATTACGTGGAGATCTAGAACATGTCCTTGAAGCACATCATACCATGATGCAAAGTGAAAAGTCAAGTGATATTGGACCATGTCTTGCACTTCAAGTCCTCCCTAAGGTATAGCAATTATATGGTATCTTATACCTTTAAAATATTGCTCATTATTGCCTAGGCCCTGTTGGTAGATGCTTCTAGGTTTTCTTTTCTATTAAGTCACCCTGCTCCCTGTCTTTGCAGAAATACAGAAGGTTGCTGCTAGAATCCATATTTCTTCCCCATTGTTTATGTCTTGTATCGTTAAATACAGCAGTGAAAAAATCTGTGTCACATAACTTTCCTCCCCACCGTGTCCTCTCCCAAACTCTCTCCTATTACTACATTCATTGTCCTAGCAGATGAACTGCTGCTGTGTTGAGGGCTGAAAAACTGGAGAAAAAGGATCAGGCATACTGAAAAAAGATATTTTCTGCTGGAACTAGATTATTGTGTCTTGAGTAGAGCCTGTAAAACTATATTATATCTTCTAAAGGCAATTCTGACAAAACTTGTGACAGAATTTCAAATACTGAAATATTTCAAATGAAAACCAGACTTATTTTAATTTCAAAATTATTCTTAATGCAAGCTGAAGTTTACATGCCTCATGACTTGATTTTTCTGGGATGGACTCAGATGGAAGTTTTGGGCCAGACAATTATCCCATCATATCTTGCTGTCCTCTTCTAGAGATGTCAAAGAATCAGATGTTTAAAAAAAAATTCTTTGCAAATAAAAGTACTGATACTCTAGTTCAATAAACTGATTTTTTTTTTATTGAATGTAGATTTATTTTTCTTCCCAATATGTATCACATAAGACAACTGGAGAAAAAGGAAAAGTAAATAACCTTGCTTTTCCATATTTTTTAATTGAAACTCAGCAGTGCTTGAAGAAAATATAAAAGAACTGAATAACTGTGAACTAGTTACACAATCTTGTGACAGCTCTCTTCCCTCCTTGCTATGTCTGTAAAACCATGGTTAGCACAAATCAGAGACACCATGCCTGACATCACTGCTAGCTACCAGGTGAATGGTCCTAACTGCCATTTGCAAAGCAGGATCATGGCCTGGGGGGGAGTGGATGTGGCATCTAGAGCAGTGGCAGCAGATAAAATAAACACTATATTCAGATAAACTGTTTCTAATGGCTATGATAGTGTTTGTGTGATCTAGATTTTAAGATACTGACAGCAATGGTTCAATCTGTGACCTTTTTTTTTATAAGAAAGAGAATAAGAACACTAAACACCAAAATTTGTAGTTTAAAAGCTATTCATAGTACCATCTCATCTATTTCTTTTTACTGGTAAAAGGAAAAAAGAGCTCCCTAATACAACTGCAAGATAACTTGGCATTGGTAGAGTATTCTGTATGCTTTGTTGATTGTACTGCTGAGAAGAATAACAATGAAATCAAAGATAATGGGGAAAAATTATCTTCAAACACAAAAAAGCATGATAAGGCTATAGAAAAAAACCCAAACAAAACCAAATCCCTAGCTTTCAAAAGAAATGAACTGACATTAACAAGAAATGCAGAGAAGTAAAGCAAATTACCTACCTTAAGACTGACACAAATCAGTCTACTTCAACTGCTCTTTAATAATATGTAAGTCAAGATATAATTAAAAAAAAAATCTCAAGTTTATGGTTTTCCAGAAAGCCATGCTACCAGTCTCTCATAAATTCTGTAGTGCAGTATTAACAAAGTCCATAAAATTGGGGCTAACACAGAAAACATAAACTAAACAATGGAACAGCAGATACATTTATCATTTACACTAGAGAAAAATTCACATTTTGTAACCTGAACTCCTTAAGAAAATTTGCATTTAAAGCTCTTGCTATCAATGTAGTGTTGGTGGGGTTTCTTTAAATTTTATATTCAGATCTGCCTCCATTAATAATGAGCATCTTCACATGGAAATTTTTTATATAAACAATAATATTTTCACAGATAGTGAAAATATTTGACACAGATAGTGGTGCAAGGCTGTCAAACTCATAAGAAAATGAAAGTACTTTAGTACATGTCCCACAGTTAGAGAGAGAAGCACTGCACAGCTGGTAGCAGTTCTTCTGATGCAAGATGTAGACCAGCACAACACTAGTATGGATGTGAACATGTGGATCTGGATTGATATGGCTCTTTGCTCACTGAAAACCTGTCTTCTGACAATATAAAGTGTCTGAGGAAGTATTCAAGCAGTAGAAATAGATCTTATTGAATGCACCACCTCCAAGGTAGTTTAAGCAGGTTTGCTGTTTCTGTACTCAATACAGAGAGACATTCCACATACCTACAAATTCCACATACCTTTTTATGGACAAAAGCCCTATGTCCTGCAAGCCAGCGCAGTATAAATTAATTTTACAATATTATGGTGATTTACACCAACAAGTCTAGGGTTCAAGACCAGTCAGAAAAGACCAGATTTAAGATGAAGAAAACAGGTTTCAAGCAGTGTCTGAAGGCACTGCAAAGAATTTAGAGAAGAGGAAGGCTTTAAGGCTATCAACTTGTCTAGCCCTTTTCATAAGCATTAAATTATCTTAAACAATCAGTAAAAGTCTTTATTTCTGAGGTGATGAGTGATACAACCCTGACTGATCCAAGTCTAGAAATGTATCATTTATGAAAGAAAAAGGAAACAAGAATCAAGAATCTCTAAACCTTTAAACCTGCTAATCCTCTTTGTTGCAAGGCTGTGGTACGGTGTTAGTCAGACATCTAATTATACACAGGAACAATGATTGCCTTCCAGCAGGATGACACAAAGCTTCGCTCTGAGAGGTCATCAAATCCTGTCTCACTTTGTACATTTGCTTTTATTGGCCGCCTCGCTCTCCATACCACCTCCAGCACCAGGAAGCAGATGGGACTTCCTTTCCATCCGGCCGCCAAGCAGGAAATGTTTGACTCTTCGACAGCCACAAACAGACAGCCAAGAGCTGTGGTGGAAGAGCACAAGAGGAACTGACAGCTTCTCAGACAGTGCAGTGACTTCTGACTGGTGGACTATGAAGATGGCATATGCACTCTCCCATCCTACCCAAAACTGAGTGTTCTGGAAAGATTAGAAATGTTTGCCTCAGGTACAAATAGTGGAAATGGGACTAATTAGTCTGGAAATCAATCTTGAGAAAAATCACTTGCTCACGTCATCCAGATACTAGCAATGACAAGACCATACTTGCTCTAGA